TTATGAGGTTCAGCACGGATCATACCGACTTGGTGGAAGAAGGGGTTCCAGAAGGAGTCAGTCTCCCAATACTTCAAGGCCTCGATGGCCAGCTTCGCGTAAGGCAGGTTTGGGTAGTCATTCCTCCCAATCTTGGAGATGTCGTGGGACGCCGCCTTCGGGTTGGCGAGAGCGGTAGGGTCAATGAGAACGATGCTGCAGTCGGGCTTGTATTTACGCAGCCAGATGATCGTGGAGAGGCCAAAGATACCTCCTCCAACGACGATGTAGGTTTCCGACTTGACGCCAGTGCCCTGAGGGGCTGTGAAGAGCGCTGACTTGGCCATGATATGTTTTTCTTGCAATGTGATTTGCTTCTACTAGCTGATTGTGACTAACACGAGGGAAATTTCACATCACTCCGGGCACGGCTCGAGTCTTTATGTAGATAAAGATGTCAGCATCTCGAAGACCGAAAGAAGAGAGAAAAGAGCAACGCATTGTCCACAAAGGGAGACTGTTTGATACACACGCCTGTGCCTACGTCTACGCCTCAATGACTTCTTCCGTCCATCCGTTCCTTCGTCATCAATGGCTCAGGCGCGGATATCCGTCCTACTCCAAGGGACCCGCGCAGCAAGCACGCACGAGATTAGATGCCGACATCCAACCGACCGCCGACACACACGTCCACTCGGGGAAGGACCGACGTTGAAACTTGGATCTGTCTGGAAAACTCGCCAGCATTCTCTCTCCCTGGAGGGATCGTGCGGGAAATCAAGTGACCTGGAATGGCCTGACTCTGAATCCCTGGAGTGAGAATCTAAAGTGAATGGAGGCGGCCGGGCCCCGGGAAATCCCAGATGTACATAGTCATGGGCGCAGCGCAGCAGGAGCGCAGGAGGACGGGGTGTTACGACTTGCATTCATTGGATGGAGCCATGCTGTGTGTACTGTGCTAGGTAGGTATGTTGTTGGAACCATGAGAGTATACCCACGACGGCCAGGACACGACGTCGATTCGCATCCCATCACATCAGTAGAGAGTGGCGAAAAAATCAGAGTTAGGGTTGACAGAAAGAAAGGCCGAAGGGGCAGAAGGTCGCAGTAGAAGCGGCGTATTCGTCTCGGGAGTGGCAGCAGGCGGCGCCGAGCGAGGTGAGACCAAACAAGGCGGCTCCCGGGGGACGGAGGGGGATCTGCGATCTGACAAGATTGGTATCCGTGGTCACATAGACAGTAGTGCAGTCTGGTGTAGGTCGTGTAGCGTAAACCACGTTGAGATGGATGGTCGTTGCTTTGGGCTTGTGAGGTGGAGTGGTGTCGTGACTTGACGATGCGAGAGTGTTGGAGGAGACTTTGGAGGGGGGTGCAGTAAGCGAGTAATGAAGGGGACCAGGGGGTGGTTGCCGTCGAGGATGCGGGTCTTTCCAGGTTGCGCTTGCGGTTCCGCTTCTTGTGGTCGTTGGAATCGAGCAAGGAAGCCACGATCTCAAAGAGTTGAAGTTGCTTTAGGTAAGGCAGCTGCCATGGGCCATGGGGGAAAGAGGAGTGGAGTGAAGGAAGAGGAAGGGTCAGGTCAACTGTCAGGGGGTGGCATCAGTGAGGTACGTACTCGATAGTGACCCTAGATTGATATCCAGAACGGGCAGGGGTCTCGCCCATCGTGCCATGGGTATCCGTAGGCCCTGCCTTGTTCGTGACTGCCAAACCGTATCGTTTCTTCTCATTGGCCCGGCCTTTCTTCCTTTGCAAGTGACCAATCACAGCTCAACTGCTTCAACAACCTTACCATTGGCTTCCATCAAGAACATCAACCCCCTAGCCTAGCGTTCTTTTCTCAGCAAAAGAAGAGCTAGGATCAATGATATCTCGACAAAATGTTCAAGACCCAGCCCAGCTGACTATCTAATTATACTCCCGTCCCCGTGCTCCATACCTTACTCTTGAGTCTGCAATGAGGAAATGCTAAAGACGCCAGGAAACGCCTAGGGCGGGACAACAACCCTTGAAGATTCTCCATATCACTAACGCAGGTCACGACGAATCCAGCGTCGTGCGATTCGCAACGCCGATGGATACTCAACAACTCCATCCCAAGACCAAGAAAAGCCCACGAGGGGGGGGGGGGGGGATACATTCCTTCTCGCAAGTCTGTCCACGAATCCAGGTAGCAGTCCCATCCACTTCTTGCCTCAAACTAGAATGAGATCACACTCACTCATTTGTTCGACGTAGTCTTGAGTGAGCTCAGGAGTAGCTAAGGGTGTCTAGATAGCAAACTTGCGACTTGCATACCTACACAATATTCAAGACTCTTTCCGGACATTTCTCCCCTTCCGGATGGACTGGCCGTTTTCTCGTTGCTTTTACCGTTGTTTTTGGGGTGGTGTTGGGTTCAATTACCTCGCCTAGGTACCTACAGAATAGTAGTAATTCGTTGCCTGACCGTGCTTCCCAAAATACGCCATGTTCCAGCTTTCTACTGAAGCGGGATTCTTGCCGTAGCATCCAATCCAGAAGACGTGTTGGTCAATCCCTTGCTCTCTGTCTCTCTGTGCCTGTCTTTCTCTCTCTCTCTCTCGCGTTGTCTTGCAGTTCCTCTCCTCCATCTCTAGCGACCGCCAAGAACCAACTTTCTCACTTCTCTGGCGCGCTTCTGGCTGGGGGGGGGGGCCACCCCCCAAACTCGATCGACTGCATACCCATCCCTACCGGAAATTCGCTTCAGTCAGCATGTTCGATTTTCGAGATACGGGTTCCTAGGCTCATTAGAAATACCATGTTCCATCAAAATCCATGGCCAAGCCTGGGCACTTTTCTTGCTGTGGTTGTCTTGCTGCGGTGCGCCACCCATCATCTCTCTCTGCCCCTCCCCGCATTAGTGTGTAAAGGAACGAAAAAAAAAAGTGAAGTCTCTTTTCCTTCCAACCAACCAACTCACATACTCTCTGCGTCTCTCTCTCTCTTTACCTGGTGCTGGTGTCCCGTATGCCTCCCTTCCACGTTTTTATGCATTTGCCTCTTTCTCTCTGCGGCGTCTGTCGTTCTCGTATATTTCCTCTCCCCCCCTCTTCCATCCCCCTTCCATCCCCCATCAATGATCTGACCTGGCACCCCAGTTCGAGAAAAAGGCGCATGTCAGAAGGTGAGGCAATCGTCCTCTGTGAAACCAACCCCCATCATAGACCCTTTGCCGCCGTCCCGTGTCCAATCGCTTGTAGATGAGTGCAGGTGCAATTGAATGTAAGGGTTCAGAAACTGTAGTGAACCCCAGCCTATTCTTTCGTACATCTCCTTCGGGAGACGATCTGCCCACGAGGTGTCGTTGCACCAGGCTTCGCCAGGTTCCTTTTCCCGTACGACACGACATCTGATGACAGACAGACAGATAGACAATTGATTGCTCCGGAGCCTTTCTCCTGCCTTACCTGCCTTGCCTGCCCCCCTCTCCCCAACCAAGCCTGCAAGGTCCAGAATTTACAACGGGGGGGAAGGAGGCACCACACGAGCTGACGCCCACGGCACATCTCCCGCTTAGTTTGGACTGTGTCCAGTCATCCTTCCACCAGGCTCTGAGCCGTCTTGCCGGTCCACGTCCTGGCATCTCATCATGCCGGCAGTAGTACAGTACGAATACGTCTTGCCTGCCATTTTCCCCCTTCTTGTTTGCTTTCCACATGCAAGTCCCAGTACCCCGTCTCGAAAGCGTTCGAGGGATTCCCGCAGTAAGCGGAAAAACTAATCAATAAACCTGGTAACACACCCAAGTGATACTCAGATACAGAACATCGACGTCGACGTCGATGAGTTCTCTCTCAACGAGTCAGTTATCCGACCAGGTTTACTCGGCAGGCATGTCCAACAACCTAGACTCTTGACGACCTTGGCCCAACGCCTTTTCGACTGCCATCTTTGATGGCGCCCGCATGAGATTGTCCATGTTTCACTGGCACACCGCAAAGCCCAAAGAATTACCAATCGGCATCACCTGCAGATGTTGCCGACTGGAACGTTTCCTCCGTTCGCTGTTTGTTGGACTCTTTCCGAGTTTTCTTCGAAAGACGGCGCAGCGCAAGGATACATAGGCTTGTCCAATAAGCGGGCATGGGTTTCTTCGCCAACAGCATGATATTTGGCGACCAACATCGATCGTGGTCCCTGATACTTTGTGCACGTATTTCCGTGCCAATTTCTTATAGGTAGGCTAAACCCTCAAGTACTCTCTCATACAGCAGCCAACCACTGAATAATAGTCAAAACCAGACTGCTCTGACCAACCAGTTCTCCCATGCAAGGCGCATCATGTGCGCGTCCCAATCCAAAATGACTGTCGCTGACCCCTGCCAACATGAGAGTAATGATACATTGTGCTAGCCCAACGCCGTGGAATGCTTGTCCCTTATACCAAGCAAGAAATAAAGAGAGAAAAAATCGCTATTGCCCCCAATCATCATGTCGTTCTGTAAATGAAATCCGCCCTGCCTGCCCCGGATGCTGTCCCGGTTGCTGGTCCGGACTTCAACCCGGCTGCAGACTAATTCCTGAGCTTAGATGCAATACTACCTTCGGGGGCCAGGCAATGGTAAGGGCTGGTCGTGCTTGACATTTTGCTGATGTCGAACTAACTGGTCCTTCCTGGCGAACCCGTCCTTATTTGGACACCCCGGTAGTTGGCACTTGTGAGGTTTGGAATGCTTTTGCAAGTGTTGCCTGCTCCTATTAGCCTTGATCTCAGGGATGGGACCCAGCCGTCATACCTGTACATGCAGTTCCGGTGAAAGATTTTGGGTCCCCCGTTGATATTTTGGCCCCCTTTTTGACACGTCCTCCAGTAAGGGCACCTATACTCGCCCTTACCTCTGTGTCGAAGAGAGTCCATATCCACACGATTCGTGTTCCTCTCATCCGAGTCGTCCACGTCCAAGACATCGTCATCATCCTCTTCTTCCTCGTCGAGTGGAGATGGCGGGCTTGTTGATCGCCTGTCACCATCAGACGGATGGTAAGTGCGCGAGCTATCAGAAAATGATGCCTGAGAGCCCACCGCAGAGAATCCTGTTGTCGAGCTCGATCCTAAAACGGAAAATGACGACCTAGAGCTGGAATCCGAAGCCATATGATGTTGTCTGTACTCTTGAAGGTATCTGGTTTGGTGTGGTGGGGCTGCGCGATCTCTGATAGTCTTCAGATTGCCCGCACTGCTGTTGATTTCTTCCTTCATATTGCTAAAATGCCGTCAGCATTGCGCACCTCCCACAGCCAGAAGAAAAGAAAAGAGTCCTTGTACGCACTTTAGCATTTTGTGTTGAGTTTTTGCGAATTCCAGAATGCCCATGTCGTTGAACCCATTGGCGCGGTAGGCCTGGTCTACGAGATTGTGGCCTGTCGATTCCAAGCGCTCCTTCGTCAGGTAGTCGTCGGTAAACTTCTTGAAGGCGTCGAAAACATGCATCGTGACGTCTGCCATGTACGCCAGTTCGCCTTCCTTCTGACTGTGCCGCGGAAACGTCTTTCTGAATTCGTCAAATACTCCGGTGAACATCATAAGAGCCTCCGTCTCCCGGTTGACGGCCTTCTCGGGGTTGAGTAACGAGTTGATGTCGAGAGGCATATTGAGAATGGTGGCGCAGCCCGAAGCATGAACTCAATAAAGATAGTGTCTGTTCGTTGGTGGTCGTAAAGTATATCGTGCCAAGTTAAAACAACAGGTCGAGACGGTTGAACTTGTCGTTTGGAGCGAGCGTTACAGTGGAATATCGAAACTCTGATGTTGAAGTGAGGACCAGTGGTGACAGCAGTTCAGCAAGCCATTCCGAAGCAGACCAAGTGGGTCTTTGTGGAAGAAAGCAAGTTCGGTGATGCTGGCCAGGCCAAGGAGGGATTTACAAGGAGTCGAGACGTTGAGAGAAGGCAAGCGTTGGCGTTGGCGTTGATGGAGCTAGAGAAGGGCTAGAGGCAACGTTCTGGTCACAACTCAGGAAAAGTTTGTAGGATTTGGGCAGGGGAAAGTAGAACTTGGAAGATGGAGACGGGTGGAGAGGGGGTTTGAGTTGAACAAAGTGACGGGGGAGGGGAAAGAGAAAAGAGATAAGACCCGAGTCTAGCAGAAACACACGAGGGACGGCGGATAAGGCCGGAGGAGAAGCTAAGGTAAGGGAGTGAGCGGTTGAAGGCAAGGAGAGAGAAAGTGAGAGAGAGAGAATCAATCTGATGGATGGATGGAGAATGACAATCGACGGGGCGAGGCCGGGGGGGGGGGGGGGAGAGGAGCGGCAGACGGCCAAAAAGCGGACCTCAAACTGGCACGAGGGGGGCAACGACTCGCCGAGGACGCAGCAAGCATGCAATGGCGCGTTGGCGACAGCGATGATATTGGCGAGAGGTGCGTCTGAGGAAATGAAGATGAGAGAGTGGTGGTGAATCCTCCAAGTAGCTGCAGATGCGGTCTCAGTCGGAATGGCAGTCCCTTGCCTCGTTACGCCCGTAGGAATCGGTCAAGCAAAAGAGCCCTGGAACTTGGGCTCAGGGCTCATGGCTCAGAAGAGAGAGGAGCCTGAGAGGGGGGCGAGATGGAGAGGGGGCAGTGATGAAAAAAGCCTGGAAGAGGAGTCTTTGGTGGATGGATGGATGGATGGATGGGGGCAACACACCTCACGACACAGAAGAGGAGGACATGGTACGGCGAGTGAGGCAAGTAAGGTAGAGGAACCCGCTGCCGCTGCCGCTGCCGCCACGGCAGAACCTGAGAGGGAAGTGAAAGTGGAGGAAGAGAAGAAAGAGAACGAGGCCATCCATGAGGAGAAACTGGAGTGGCATTCTGCATGTTTCTGCATGTCTAAGACGGAAGGGGTGCAAGGGCCAATGGTGGGTTGACGGTTGGCTTCGCGTGGGTGGTGGATAAGCAGACCGAATGTAAGCAGAGTGAGACAAAAGAGGGAATGGGTGCGACGCAGCGACGGGAAGAAGCAATTGTGCGGCTCGAGGCAGGGCAAGTTCGGGGGGGAGGAAGGAGGAGGAGGGGGGCCCAGAACGCGGCCGATCTGAACGAGAAGTTCAAATGTCCAGAGCATCCGTACAGACTGGAGTCTCCATAGCTAAGCGTGCTAAGGTACCTTGCGGCGTGGGAGTGGATGAGAGACATGGACGAGGGGGGGTGCGGGCAGGCACCGTTACCGGGACCCATAAGGCAGGTTGACCGGGTGGGGATCATGGAACCCAAGGCACGGCCGCAGGGAGACCATGGAAGGTACCTTCCATACCTTTACTTACATAACTTGCAGTGAGGAAAGCAATGTACCTTACCTTATCCTTAGGCATTGGAGCAACGGAAGGCGGCAACAGATGGCAGGCATGATCAATTGATGGTTGAGATGTCCATACTTGTCGATACCTACCTTATGGAAGGTGCCTCACTCGGGGCAGGCAAGTCACGATCTTCCTTCTCCTCCAACTTGCAAGATGCCAAAGAAGAAAAGGCGGTGTCAGTCATGGCTGGAAGGATGGCGCTGCCTAAGGTACCTTATCCTCGCACTAATTATCTGGATGGGCGTTGCAGCATGAGGTAAGTTGGGAGTTGGAAGCATGTCAACACCTAGGAACGCCTTTGTGGACATACCAGACGTACATAGGTACAGTAGCCTGACTAAATGGTTATAGCAAGACATGGGGGCCCGGGGCTTGTCCGAAGGGTGGGTGCCCATCCGTACGCCGTTGATGGCATCTCGATGATGTCGATCAGCATGTTGGGAGCTGCTGGTGCTAGAGCTGGTGCCGGTGCCGCCGCGGATAGCGACCAGACCATTGGTACCGCTTCTGTTGGTTGCGCGGCTTTGCCGAAGTGATCAAGGTCAAGGTCATGGTCATGGTTATGGTTTGGGTGACGAAGGTGATGATGTTCACGATGGCGAGAGTGGCACCTAGCAGACGCCTCAGATCAGCAAGGGTTAAGGGTTATGGCCGCGGATAAACGAGAGACAAAGAAAGGTATGAGGATCCAGGAACTGCATGGGAAAATGAAGCGAGCTGGGAAAGAGCATAATTATTGCCCAAATGCAGCGCGCTGGAACTGGAAATGAAGTACGGATACCATCCGTCGACCAGGATGAGGCAACGCTGAACTGCTCTCATCTTGCATGAGGAAGAGAAAAGACGTGCTGCAGGTGATATGAATTGAGGTTGCAACTTGCCAGACCCTTCATCCTCCGTCGGGATCCGTACGGACATTGGGCGCCGGGCTGTCTGTCACTCAGTCTACCAGGTCGGTATCCGTAAGCATTTTTGTTGCATGAGGGATCGGCAATCCCTCCCCACGTCGTATCTTTCGGAGAATCGTGCAGTTGAGCGAGAATCGAGGCAAGAAGAGGAAAAAGAAAGCGTAAGGGTAATACTGAAAGACCAAGGTAACGTACACATACCTACATGCCACGATCCCCCCCTGAACTCCATGGACGGCGGCACAGCGGTCAGGTCATGTCATGGAACGAACTTGAGAGGTCCCATCAGGTCAGGCCCCAGAGTCGGGAATGCAGGAAGAGCGTGGGGCGGGCGAGGTGAGGAAAGTTGATGTGGATACGGAGGTGGGAAACTGCAAGGACAGAAACGAATACTGGGGAGCTGGTGAGCTGTGAGCGAGCTGCAAAGCGGCAAATACCCATTTCACAAGTCAAGCTGGGCGCAGCGCCGCAGACGTGCAAGTTGCCCGCTTGCTGCAGCATTGATCGGTTGGTTCGATTTGCAACATTGGACCAGGGAGAAATGCATGTGCAAGCAAATGGGGAAAGGTCTGCCTCAGAAAACCCATGTCTGTAGACTGGCACACTAACAGATTACAGTAGGCAGGCGGATGCAGGTCGTTGGTGGCGGGGAAAGAGGGAGGGGGCACAGTTGGGAAGCCACGCTAGCGAGGGATACCTAGAGACAAGTGCGACATGGGCAAGATGGGGAAGGGGGGCACCATCAATTAAGGTACTTTGCAACTTCGTACCTACACGAGGGAAGGAGGGGGTAAGACCAAGGGTAAAGATCGGCCTCGGAAGGTACCTACCCCTTCATCGTTCAACAAGCTCTGGCAACCATCAACCTGGCAAGACGGGAGTCACTTTCTTGTCCGACATTCCTGCCTCGCTCATGTTCCCTCCTTCTTGCCATGCTTTCTTTTTCTTGCAGATGCCCTCAGCTTCTTCCATTCTCTAGGTAGGTACCTTCCTAGCCCTGGAGGCTGGTCACTGCTTCCTTCACCTTACCTTATCGCGTCTTGCTGGCCCCCGAGGGCCCACCACTCGTGACTGCACAATTTGGGAAAATGCGTTGGGTGTGATTTTCCTGCTGTGCCACAAAGGCAGTCCACTTGCTTGATTTCTCCTTCTCGAGAACGTGCGGGTTTCTGCTTTCTTGACAACCTGCCCACCTACATGCCATCCATTTCGTCCTGATCTTACCCGCGCGTGCGACTCGCTCAGGTGATTTCCATGATAATCTATCATCATCTTGCTTCCTGGTTGACAAAGAACGACACGAACAATTGACTGGCTGGCTACGCATTCCTAAACACGCGTCTCCAAGGGTCCGGAGTTGTCGAATTAAGCTCACCCCCCGACCCCCGACTTAGAGTTCGCCTGGCGTGACATGCGCACGCAGCAAGGACCACTTTCACCCGAAGTTGCAGTCCGTCGCAGTCGCCGTCGCAGTCCTCTCTTGTCCGTCACCGCTCCGGCGCCCACGTCCAGTCACCAGTGGAGGTTCAGCATCTGCTACCAGCATCTGCTGCGTGTGAGGTCTGAGCCCGATCAGATACCGGTATCCGTACCTTGCCTTGGTGACGGGAGGAAAGAATCTGGCATCGCTACTGCCCGCGTGAGGTTGTTGTCGCCTCCTTCTTCCTCTTGTCTCTTTTGCCCACCTCCACCACAATCTCCGCCTCCGCATCGCCCTCCAGGTCCTCAACGCCCTCCTCCTTGACTCCTTCCTGAGAGTAAGGTACCTTACCAGTTACCACCCAGAATATCTTTCTACCTGCCTTGTTGAACTACCTACCTAGGTAAGGTTAGGTATCAAGGCCGGGCCTTCCACTCCTTGAAATCGAGATCAAAGTGCTTAAGATTGGGTAAGTAGATGTCTACCCATCTAATTCGTCCACCCACCTCAGTCTCTTCCTCCCCGGTCCCATCTCTTTTGTCCAACCGCTCACAGTCACGTGGAGTGTGTCAAATCACATCGCTCGGTTATCTTTTCGGAGGTGCTCCCGATGCCTGACGCCAATTGAGACACACGTGCTGGGTCACATCTCCCTTCAGGTTAAGGTACCTACCTCATGTTAGGTAGCTGCATGGGCACCGCAGTCGGTATGCCCTCCCTCAGTGGGACACATATACACACATTTTTGGACCCCTCTCCTGAGTCTTACTTCCTCCTCATTCAAGGGATCCAACCCCGCTGCTGCTTCGGCCATTTCTTCTTCGTCTCTTCCCTTTCCCCTCCCCCGCCGTCCTTTTCTCGCTTCCATGCCAATCCAGGCGTGGACGTTAGCAGAAGGAATGTAAAAATCGCGTCACAGTCGCAGACACGCTAAGGCAAGGCAGACAGGGCGACCTATCGCGGTGTAACGATAACTTT